TCTTTGTTTAGGGTATCTTTTGCCACAGTTTTAAATTTTATGTTGTCTAATCTGTCCACTTTTCCCCTTTGTGATTTATAGCCATCAGTATAGTGCTGAGAAATACTCTATCCACCTTAAGATTATGAAACTATTCTAATTTTTTTCTAATTCTTTTATGATTTTATATTTTGCACTTGAAATTTAATATGTCTAGATTTTTTCTTATGAAGTGAGGTAAGGACCTAGCTTTACTTTATTCCTCCCTAAAATAAATAGATCATCAAACAGCCCATTTATTGAATAGCTGATCCTGTCCCCATTGATTTAAAATGCCAATTATATACTAGATTCTCAGCTATATGGACCTGTTCTGGAACTTTCTATTCACATCATTGTAGATTATATTTTGGTACTTGGTGGGGTAAACACAGAAACATTTAGATACATTTTATTTTCTGAAATGAGCACTGTTACCAATCCAATCTACATAAGGTAAATTAACAAACAGTATACAAGTTCATTTATCACATTAAAAATGTTATCTATTTACATACTGGGTATTCTTTTAGTGTTTTAAATAGGCATTTAATATGGAAAATCACCTTTTTACTCAAATTTTGTTCAGTTTTTACAGAACAAAGTTTTGAGCATAAGTGACTCTATATTGACCATAAACACATCAATAAACATGTACATTTTTGTAATGTTTTCCATTTTCACTGAAATGTAATTTTATATGTTGACTCTGATAAGAATTTTGTCTTTGTAACCTGAATGAGTTTTAGCACATTTTAATAATTCATTTTTGTATTTTACAAAATACTGACCTGTGATGGATTAGACATTTTTTAATAGCTCTTCACTACAGATAGTTTGAGAAGCAAACTAGTTCTAGAGAGCCAGCCAGTTTCAATTTCCAACTGCCTGCTGCTTGTATAGAGAAACCTGATTTTTATATGTTGACCTCATATCCTATAACCTTGCTAAATTCACTGGTCGCCTTTTTGAAGCTTCTTTTGGATTTTCTACACCAGCAACCATATGAAAATAAACCATCTTTTATTTTCTTGCTTTCCCATCTATATGACTTACTATTTTTTCCTTTTCTTTTTGTATGGCTAAGACCTCCAGCACAATGTTGAATAAAAGTGGTGAGTGTGGACATCCCTGCCTTGTTTCCAATATTTGTGGAGAAAGCTTTCAGTCTTTTGTCATTAAGTAGGGCCTTACTTAATGCAGGTTTTACATATATGTCCCCTTTTTAGGTTAGAGATACTTCATTCGATTCCTACTTTGCTGAGCACTGGGGTTTTTTTAAACTCAAAAACGGGTGTTAGATTTTTGTCAAAAGCTTCTTCTGCATCTGTTGATATGATCACATGCTTATTTAATATAGTCTGTTAAGATGGTGACCTCAAAGACATTTGCAGGTTAAACCAGTCTTGTACTGGGATAAACTCCACTTGGTCATGTGCATTACACCACTTATATATTACTGGATTCAATTTACTAAAATATTGTTGAGGACTTTCACATGCATATTCATGACAAATACTGGACTGTAATTTTGTTTTGTTTTCTTTCTAGTATCTTTGGTTTTGTTGTTTAAGTAATGCTTAGTCATGTTCACAGAATGAATTGGAAAGTGTGCCATCACTTCTATTTTCTATTACCTCACTTCATAAGAGTTTGGGTAGAATTGATATTGTTTCTCTTTTTTAATGCTGGGTAGAATTCTCCAGTGAAGCCTTCTAGGAATTTTCTTTATGAAAAACACAAATCCAATTTCTTTGATAGATACAGGGGATTTCTGGCTCGCACCAAGATGTAAAGAACTTAGAAGCTGTCACTCCCATTTTTACAACAACAAAACACTAAAACTGAAAATCAATAATTTTTCTTGCACCCATTAGAGAACTGAGGTTTCAGGGTAAGCCATCATATCACCCTGAAGTCTGGAGACAGAGGTGACTCCAGAGAGTCACAGCTGGGATTTGCTTGTTAAGATGGTGACCTCAAAGATATTTGCATGTTAAACCAGTCTTGTATTGGGATAAACTCCACTTGGAGCAGAAGCTACTGGAGCCATAATCCAGTAAGGACATTTAAATGCCAATTTTGACAAATTGCTGGAGTCTAAGTGTGGAATTAGGAGTGAGAAATTCCTGAGACTGGCATGAAGTCTTAGAAGCCCCACACCATGGTGGGTTTTACCTCCAGGAACCTCGCCAGATTTTCACAGTGAAACCCTCTGTGGCTCTGGCAAGGAAAAGGTACCAAGGTAAAAATACCCCTAAAATGTTCTCTATAACAAAGGCCTACTCTCCATGGAAAAATACCTTATAAGAGCCTTATCGCACCTTGTGGGTATTTCTTCCATTCCAGCCCCCAGTTTAGCTTCCTATCTCACCTAAGTGGAAAATAAGCCAAGAGACAGTTGAGGGATGCAGGCCCACTAAAAAACTAAGATTTAATCTCAAGATTACAGGACGCATCCCCTCCCCCACACCCTACTGCCACATCAACAGGGCTCCAATATAGTAACAGTGGATCACAGCTGAAAGAGCCTTAAGACACAGGGGTCCTTTGAAGAGAGCACATCGGGAGGCCCCAAAGCCAAGAGGAGAGGCAAAAACAAGGCGGCCCAACTTTCACTCAGAGTGACATAAAATGTACACTAAAAGTCTCTTTCCTTCAGTTCTCCGATACACCATGTCCAGCTTTCAGTAAATGATTAAAATGCATATTAAGGAAAAAAGTCTGAAGAAATATAGGGATACTCAGGCTTTCTATTTCTTCTTGGTCGAGCTTTGTTGTTTTAAAAGGAATCCATCCACTTCATCTAAGTCTCGCATTTGTTTGCATTGTCGTCCATGCTATTCCCTCTTTGTTTAATGATGTAAGATCTGTAGCGATGTTTCCTCTCATTCCTGATATTCATGATTTGCGTCTCCTCTTTCTTTCCCTTTACAATATGGCCAAAACCTTATCAATTTTACTGATTTTTCTCAAAGAACCAAGTTTTTGTTTGGATTTTCTCCACCATTTTTCTGCTTTCTACTTGATTTCTATTCTTGTCATTACTTTCTGTCTTCTGTTTATTTAGCTTTAGTTTGCTTTTTTCCTAGTTGCTTAAGTCATTGAATTTAAACATTTTTCCTTATTTAATGTAAGCATTTAATGCCAAAAATCCCCACTCTTATTTCCTCTGCAGGGACTCTGCTTCAGCAACTATCCCCCTGGTCTCTTGCATCATCAATTTCCCCCTTTCCACTGAATCATCCCCATCTTTATACGAACGTGCTGTCATAGTGCTGTATTATAGGGAACAAAGAAAAGAAAAACACCTGCTCTTGCCCCCCATGCTTCTCAGGCTATAATCCCATTCCCCTGCTCTAATCATGGTTTTCTGTACTCTTTATGCTGTGCCTACTTCCTTACCTCTCAATCTCTATAATCCACTCAATTTAGGCATTCACCCCTACACTGAAATTCCTTTTATCAAGGTCATCAGCAAAACCCCTCTCTCCATATGCAATGATCCATTCTTACTCCTCGTTTTACTCATTCCTTAGCAGGATTTGACATACCTTCCCCTGGCTCACAGGCCGTACACCACACCTTCTATCCTGGGTGGACGACTCCACCTCCCCTTCCCAATTTCTCAATGAGTGCCCCAGGGTTCAGTCCTCATCCCCACCTTTTCCTCTTTGACCCATGTGTCCTTCATCCACTGCTAAAACTATAAGTATCATCTTACGTATTCAAGCTATCCTATACTATTTCATTATTTGTAGTGTATTTTGTAGTTGCCTTAAAGTATGTTTTAATCTGGACAGTTAGATTATATGTTCCCTGAGAATAAAGATCACCATCTTGTTCTTTTCCTCTTTTAGAAGACAGTATTCTGTGCATGATAAACCCTGATTAAACACTGTAAACTCTATCCCTGATTTTGCTCAAGCACTGAAAAATATATGGTTTTATAACTAGGTAGAAGCAGGGTTTACAGTGACCCACACAGTTAAGCAACAAGTACCACCTCCAAATGATTGAGCCTTATAGCCAGGACCTGCTCGGGGCTCATGATCTATTATGGTCAGCTCAGAATGTGTCAAACAACCAATTCTTTTACTGAGACTGACACCACAAGGAAGGGAGTGGTTCCTTCTATTTGGCATTTTCAATGAGGTGAAGGTAAAAAAAATACACTTTTTTCCATTGGAGGTTTCTTATGTGTTGAGGCTGGTCACAGAGAAATCCCTGTTTCAACTAGACACCAAACAAATAGCAATTAAACTAGAGCCACAGTTCCAGTGCGGAAGGGCCAACAAAGTTGTATGCAAATCTGGGCTGTTGGCTGCGGAATGCATACCTTTTCCACTGGCTTACAAGTTAAGTTAGGACCAAAGAGCCCTTGATCCCTGAGGGTATTTCACTTAATAAAATGGTCAACATTAACCTGGAGCAGCTTCATTACAAACCAGAGTGACCAGGCATCATATGGTTTTGAGTTGCAGGCCATAACAATTCTCTGCGTAGTCTGGCTAATGGTGAAGGCCAAGCCTAACCCCTTAGCTGCACTGTCTCCTCACCAAGGGAAGGAAAACCAAAAGGACTCTACAGGCTGCTCAGGGTACTGGGTAGAAACTACACTGTCCTCTCCTCATCAGCGAGCTCTCATCTTTAGCCACTATTAGGTTTTATAAATTCACTATTCTACAATTACTTAGCAGATTTTTCAAGGTGATGTTTTAGGATCTGTGAGGACTTTCCTCCACTTCCTTTAAGACACCTCAAGGAACTTCTCTGCACCAAACTGTTTCTGAACACACAAATGAAATAGGCCTTATGAATTCAAAATCCTATAACAAAGATTTCTTTTTGAAGAAAGTCTCAGAGCTGACCAGCCATAAACAACAGAATGTACAGCCAAGTTTTATAAGAGACAAAAACTATAACAACAGATACCAAAGGATCCACTATCCCAACGAAGAGGAGACATGGGAAATGAGTGATGCCGAACAATCTTTTTATTGTTTACTAAAAAATACAGGTCTGAGAAGAGTTTATTGCATTGTGTATTGAGTGCAAGGCCTGATATCACCAGTATGTATGACATAACAGTATAACATATAAAATGATACATACTATATATAAGAGATAGATCCACTTCTCTAAACACTAAAATCAAGAGAATGAAGTAAAGTCGGTAAATGAGAAATGTAAACAGTGCAATCTTAAAGTGCTCCAAACAAAGCACTTAAAAATTTTTTGTTGTGACATTTACTTTGTCCACCTGGAGTAAGGAATGGTGAGGACCAGAAAGACTCAGCTCACCAAAGCTGCGACTACTATACAAGAAGCTCTTCCCAGGGAACAGGCTGCTGCTGCCCACGACAGGCTGCCCCCTTGGCTTCAGAGCCCTCAGGCCGGTGCTGACTGCTAATCCGTCTCTGGGCTAGTTTGAGGCAAGTGAGAAGGGTTGCCAGGTAGCAGAAAGCTTCTGTCACAGCTGCGATACTGCACCGAATCTCTGGGTAACACCTAGTATCTGTGATGCGAATCTGCCACCCTCAGGAAACACTGAAATGTGCTTCAGAATGTGTTCCCCACTGGGAACACACGCCAATTTCTATGCAGTCTGCAATTATCATCATTTATGTCTTTTAGCCATGTTTTTATTAAGATGCTCTACAAGAAGGTTGCTGTTACTATATTGCCAGTCATGAAGGCCAGGATGGAGGTTGACAAAAGTTCTCCTGTTACAACTACCAATTCAAATGAATTAAAAATAAATACAAATTTATTAGAGAGTAACAAAATCAATGTATTATTCACATGTCAACATATTCAAATGCTGTAACAATATACACATTCCAAGTCAATATACCCACATTTCCCTCAAAATGAGAAAGCCGTGTGCAGAGGACAGCACACAACATCAACACCACCACCTCCTCCTCCCCAAAATATGGGGGCTCAGAGAGCTCATTATAGGTAACAGATGAAAAAAAAAAACAACTGTCCCTCTGGGCTTCCTTGGTATCAGGTAAAGCAAGGCTGTTTTCAACAGTAATGCCTAACTGACTATGGCGATACGTTTTAAGAGAAATCAGCGTTAGAAAGCTCCTTAGTTTATCAAGGATTATTGATAATTTTTTGAACTAAGACAACAGTCTCATCACCAAAGAAAATTTTCTTCTCACCTGAGTTTTTAGAAAAGAGATTTTTACAATATCCCAGCTTCTTTACTTAATATTAATCTATTAATGCACAGAGGACATCCTCAGAGCTCATGTGTGAGCAATATTAATATTCTCAGATTTTTTGACACTTTATAGATCAGCAAGTATTTTATCAGACCACTCATTCCAGAGATGCATGAGTCAATAGTAATACCCAAGTATATACTTTTCTTACTCTACTCATCGAAGAACACTATGTTCCAACAGGAATAGAGCCCAGTTCACTGGGTATCTTGTTTCCCTCAACTCTGCACAGTAAATTTCACTGTTTGGTCTTTACATCCTCCACTCTTCCTATGATTCTTCTAGCCTAAGGAAAACCATGTACAAAGAAGAAAAATTGCAAACCCAATGGAAGCATGGGTATTAGTGCTGAAATAAAGTTTAGGGGAATAATTTCAATTGCTTATGAGACTGTCAGTACCTTCTGGAAACTCTACTCCTTGAATCCCTAGATTTAGAAATTCTAGTGATTTAAACATAGGAAGGGGATTTCATTGATAAAGGTTCTGGTTCATGTGTAAAGTTCTGGCCCCTGGAATGATGTGTGACTAGCCCAAAATACTGGCCAGATTTTCATTTTGAACATGCTCGTTATCTTTCCCCACCACATGCGCTCAGCATCTTCCAGCTCTCACGGCACTGCTGAGAACCTCTCACTGCTGCTCCTATTTCTTTTGGATGTTCTACTGCACATTCGGGATCCACAGAGATTACCACATTAATGTGTAGAGAATTTCCATTTCACACCCTCAACTCCCTAAAAGCTATCAACTGGGAACAATTTCTAGTTAGTAAAGGCACAATTCACTGGCATTTCCTCTTTATGAAGGAAATAAAAAGGGTTATTTAGAAACTGAACAAACAACTGGGTTTTTCTATAAAGGGAATGCTGTATCTTGACCAAAACATGGAATTATTTATTGAATCTTATTAAGTATAAACATGAATTGAGCAGTTTAAGACATACATCTTACATTACACCTTTTGAGGGTAAGTGCCGGTTAAGTATCACAGAAGCAAATTAAAAGCGCCAACACCATCCTACTGGCTTGTTTTCCTCCTGCTGTGGGTAAACTTCCACCAGCTCCAGTGAGGCCTGCCCCAGGGTACCTCAGTCAGCAAACTGCAGAGATACTCAGAGAACAACTAGCCCAGCAACTAGCACTCAGCTGGTACTGCCTTGGGGCAGAGCCCAGGAAAACTCTTAAGCCCAGGGAAGACTTATAGAAGTTGCATAAAAATTCTTGGTTTTACAATACCTTCCCAGGAAATCAGAAAATAATTGGTTTTTGGTTAAAGAAACTGAATCTATGCTCAAAAACAATGTAAAGTCCTCAAAAACCAAAATCTAGAATGTAAAAACTACAGAAAAATAGTTTATTAATCTATAGCTTGGTCTGGCTAAATTATCATAGTAAGTCAGTGCAATTTATCATTGCATTTCGAAGCATAGCTTACCATATTCTCATAAAACAGGGTACTAGTGAGGTAAATGAAAACCTCACAGAGATGACAGCCCTTTAAGCCTTTTGTGATTTCAAAACTTATAACTTAAAAAGACAAAGGCTAACCAGAATTTGACAGATATTTACTTGCTCAGCACAAGAGAGCTAAACATCTGATTCTTATTCAGTGATGATGTTCTCAGGAAGTTCCCATTTGAACACTGATGTTTCTCAACCTGCTGCACATCGGAGTCATTTGGAAAGCTTTCAAAAATTAACAAATGCCCAGACCAATTAAATCTGGAGGATGGAGCCCAGAAATGAGAATTCTTTGTTTCCCCATGTGATGCTAATGTGCAGCCAGGATGCACACCACTGATGTTATCTCTTTCAGAGGACTGTTGTAGAAAAGCCATACTGTATCTAGACAGTTTTATTTTTTTCTAAATTCCACTAGGAAAGGGGATTTTTAGAAAAAGGCACAGTTGCGCTTCCTCTAAAGACACAGCTTACTGTTTCATAGGTGCTGGTTCTCAGAGGTTATCTGGAGCGCTGGCCGGGAAGGAGGAAGTCCTTGTCTTGGCAGAGCAGGCAGAGTTTCAGGCTTCGGCAGCTGCCGCCAGCAACAAAGAATGCCCAGGTGCCCATGAGCACCATGGTTATATACGCTAACACCAGATTTATCCCATAATGAGGGTTTATGAAGGTCTGCAAAGGAAAAATAAATCAGCTTGTGTAAAAACAGCAAGCTTATTAAACAGGTGGAGTAATCAAAGATAAAGGAAAATATGGAATACTTATAGCAGCCGGGGTGTATGTTTCACCAGACATGTAATGCGTGTCACGTGTTGAAGAGCACCAAGACCCACAAAGACACACAGGCCTGACCTCGCCAACAGACATGAGTGTGCAGGTCTGTTCTGCTGTATCCAGATGACAACCCTAGAAGGTAATGAGAGGCCAGAACCTAACGAAATCCCCAAAAGAAAACACATGTTATGTAACCTAGGCCTAGTGTACAGTCATTTGTGTTAAAAGCCTATTAGAATTTACAAGAAAGTGAGACAAGTCCAAGACACCTTAGTAGGAATCCTTAGTAGTCAAGGGAACAGCAACTCTTTTTCAGCTCACTATTACTATGGGTTCCCAAAGTTCATTTAAAAACCACTAATAGGATGCCAAGAGGTACCACGTTACATGATAATGAAGTCCAAACTGTCCATCCTAATGCAGCTTTCATGCTGGTAAGGAAGAATGGAGGAACAAATGAACAATTACAAACCCTGATGAATGCAAAGACAGAATAATCATCACTGTGATGGTGCTAGGATAGGTAAGAACAAGGTGAATTACTTAGGGTGGTCAAAGAAGGCGCCGAGGGAGTGGCATTTAAACTAAGACACATCAGAGGGGAAGCAAGCCAGCCTTGGGTAGACTGTCGGAGCAGGTGGAAGATCAGAGGGCAAAAGGCTTAGGGCAGCTGAGAACCTGAGAAGAGTCCATATTAATGATGTGTATAGACAGAGGGGCAGCACACGAGAGGTCAGAGTGGGAGGCAGGGGGCAGCTATGCAGCACGTTGGGAAGACGTGTGGTCTTTTATCAGTGTAATGCACGTCGCAGAGGGTTTTAGGTAGGGAAGCTGAACGACTTGATTTAGATGTTTAAAACTACAGAGACGGATTAAAGGAGGCTATGGTGAAAGCAGGGAGACGAGTTAGGCAGATTTTGTGCTGGATGAGGAGAGTACAGGGTGGTGACGTAGATCAGCGTGGTGGCTGAGATGGAGAGTTGGATGGCGGTAACTGACACGACTTGCTGATGATGGATGGAACGTGAGGGAAAGAGAGGCCAAGAATGACTTCTATGTTTCTAGCTTTGTTTCTGATTACAAAAGTGTATGCTATAGAAAATTTGGAACTTGCCAAATAAGAACAAGACTCCACCCAGAGATAAATGCTATTAATATTTTAAAGTATTCTCTCTCCAGTCTCCTTTCCAGGAGGATTTAGCTTTACAGAGTTGCCATCATGGTAGGAATGTTAGGTAGGAAGACAGCATGAGCAGCTAAGAAAGGGGAAGATAAGCTCCAAAGAAGCCACCCAAACTCTGCCCAGGTAGCCAGTCCCATGGGAAGACTACAAAGGCTTTGTGGGGAGGAAACTTCCTTCCCAACTAGGTCCCAACGAGGGCACAATTGAACTGAACTAAGAACTGCCCGAACCACACCTCAGCCCGGGAAAGGACGTGCTCACTGAGAGGGATGGCTAGAGAGCTGGACCTGTAAATCAACCCCACCTTGTCGGCCAAAGAGGCACCTCCTAGCCAGAATGCAATATAAAGGCCTCCCGCCTAAAAGCTTGGTACCTTTGTCTACCTTGACTCTGGCCCGCTCCTTCCATGGAGTATATTCACATAAAACTTTCACTCTGCTTCGCTACCGTGACCCTGCCTTTCAATTCTTTGTTGCAGCGGGACAAGAACGGAGGAGAATGAACTCAGACCATAATAATCATATTAAGGGTGACTTTAGTATCCTGCACCTCTGAAAGATTTTAGGTAGGGGAGGCAATAATATTGCACTTTAGATGAATCAGAGGATGAGGAACCTAATATAAGAAAACCTGATATAAACTCTAAATGGATGGAAAGGAGGGGAACATGAGGCAGGTACCATCAGAAGGAACTTTCTTGATACTTTTGGTGAGAAATGACAAGGGTCTGGACAAGGCAGCAGTGCGGATTACTCTGATGTAAATTTATGACAAGTTACAATAAAAGTCAGACCCAAAGCATTAAACAGTACTTAAAAAATATATCAAGTTTTCTTTTGAAAACTGTCATTATTATAATGTCAGTAGTGAAATGGGCACTCTTGGTATTGGTAAGAATGAGTAAAAACAGTACAACCCTTGAGGAGAGTATTTTAACAATTTGCATAAAGGGCTTTAAAAATATTTGCATCATTTGACTTCATAATTCCATTCACTGGAAACTAAACAACATATTGAAAAAGTTTCATGTATAAAGATGTTCAAAACAACATTATAATAACCAAAAGTAGAAACATAAGTGATCAGTTAAGCAAACTATAATTTTTATGTAATTATATAAAGCCATTATAATTTGTATGTATAGAATAACATGGAAATTGTTTAAGATGTGTTACATAAGATAAGCATAATGCAAGACTATTTTATGTTTGACTATACCCAGTAAAAGGAAGATACAAAGAAATCTTTAATGAGATTTACCAACAAATTAATAGCTGTTGCCTTTCTGTAGTAAGACTTTGATGATTTTATCATTCATTCACTTTTAAACAATTTTTCTGAATTTCCTCATTTTCCCACAAGCATGTATTTCATTTAGAGTGGAATCTACCATTTTAGGTATATGGACTACAGTTCCAAAAAACAGTCTGAGCAGGGTGGCAATACTCACCAGGGCTGACACCAGCAGATGGGTCAGAAGAACTACAAGAAGGGCATACCACTTTCTCTTCTCACAGCCATCAAAAAATACAATGCCCCAGAACATGTGCAGCAATATGATAACCAGTGTCATGAAAGCTGAAAGACAGTCATCCATTAGTGCCCAGTTATATAGACAACAGATGCCAAAGCTCACTGAGCACCCAGTCATGATACACAGGCTCCTGGGGTACACCTCACCACTGTGAGAGAGTTCAACCACCATCTGACAGAAGCAGGACCTTGACACACATCTGCCTGAATGGTAACTCAGTGACTTGCCCAAGGGTTTCAGCCCCCAGCAAGTTTACTATGGATTCAGTGAGACCAAGAAATGGCAGAGACGGAGGTAGATTACGGACCTGCAGACTGTGGGATGCAGTCATGATTCTAGTGTTCGACCTACTGCTGTGAAAATAAAGCCCAGTATAAGGCCTTTTACCCCAAGAATGTTCTGTTGTCATTTCTTGGTCTCAGTGAATCCATAGTGAACCTGCTGGTGGCTGAAACCCTCAGACAAGACAGGAAGGAAAAGCATTTTGTGGGAAAATGCATATTATTTCATTTATACAAAGCCAAAAACACACAAAACAATATTAAAGACATAACTGTTGTGGTTGGAAGAAAGCAAGTTGTTACACCTAGTGATAGTATGCCATTTCAGTAAGTGATGGTAAATGCTTTCAAGTACAAAGTAGGATTTTTTCAAAAGAAACTTTGGGATGATGGAGGACTAACCTAAAATGATTTATTTTAATCCCAGTGACAATCCTAACCAGGGAAGCCCCCCTGAGGATGGATGCCAGGTGATATGACCATGTAGAGTTGAGACCACTAAAGACACCCAGGAGTTATGGTTATGTCAGAAAAAACCAAGGTAGAAACTATGATCTACACAAGCAGAAATGTTTACATTCCAAGGTTTTTCTAAAACCTAGATTCAATCAAATGTCAAAAAAAAGGGACACATTAATGTTATTTGTTTGTCAGCTCATGTTTACTCTTCTCTTTTATACGTCCCGGTGAATACTGAAACCAGCCAGTCATGCTCCTGTGGTCAAGCCCTAGAGTTCAGCCACTTGGAAAATGCTCTTACTTAATGGAATTTTCAGTTCATGCTCATTCAGAAAAGCTTTATTCTGTGAGTTTTGGACAAGCAGTCTCAAGATATCATTAGCCCTGAACTTCCTTCCAAATTCTAGGTCCCTCTTTCTGTTTCCAAGGCCCTTTCCTGCTAAATATTATCTTTGATGGATTGACCCTGTCTGCAAAATAAAGTCCAAATATCTCAGATTGCATCCAATAACTTCTACAACCTAGACCCAAATTACTATCCTTTCCTAACCTTCAAATATATCCTATTTGGCAGAAACCCAGAACTCTTATACTCTGTTTATGCCTTTGTGTTTTTACTTTTTTTTTTTTTAACTGATTGACCCCCTGTGGAGAAAGTGAAGGCTCCTGTGGCCAGGATTCTCCCCTGGCCCTGGTCGGCTAGCTCACTACACACATATGGGCAATATGTTCCTACTGACTCTATATAAAGAGCTCCGCCCAGTGCTGTGGGCGACACGGTGGCATGGCTGCAAGCTGCAGGACAGCACAGTCTGGAGTGGTGGCAGCACTGAGTACAGACACTAAGACAGCTCTGGGGGTAGAGGCCCAGAGGCAGAGACCGGCTTGCTGCATGCACACTCTGACTGGACGGGATTCTAGTGATTGACCTGCACCATGGGAATAAAATTGGGTATAATCCCTTTCACCCCAAGAACGTTCCATTGTCATTTTTTGGTCTCATTGAATCCATAGTGAACTTGCCCAGGGCTGAAACCCACTGGCAAGACACCCCCTTACCTGAACATTCTATCCTTTATCACCACCCCTATCCATTTCCCCACAAATCTTACTTTTATTTAAGATATAGTTCAAAGACATCTCCTTAGTGGCTTCTTTCTGATAACTACTATTTTTTTTAAACATTTGACACACATTTACAAGCACCTAGATAGTTTGGCCTGAAGATTATGTATATGAACTCGTGAGTCACACAATCCTGAGTTGGAATCCCAGCCCCATACTGTAGTTTTCAGCAAGCTATTTAAGCTCTCTGAGCTTCTGTTTCCTTTATTTCTAAGATTGGGATAATCACACCCCGTAGAGTTCTTGCAGGAAGAACAGAGCTTTGCAAACAACAGCTTTTCAATAAATAATAGCTACTATGTGCTATGGTCTCCAGATACACAGATGAATTAAGTCACAGCCTTTAGTGGGCTGTACTATCAGGTGGGACAGTGAAGCAAAGCAGCAAACAGTGACCACCTTTATCCAAGTTTCCTGGGTACCTATGTTTTAAAATGCACTCTTCCTCACTTTTCTACATTATTTCTTCCTCTGGCTTTGTATTTTCTCTTACACTCATTTTCTTCCTCCCCTCTTTCATTAGTCAATACAACATGTATTTATTCAGTGCCCACTATGGGCCAGGCACTGTTCTAGGCACCAGGGCTATCATGGTGCACAAAACATAGATTCATGGAACTGGGCCCATTCTTTCAGTTTACTGTTTTATTAACAAAATACCTAAAGGGGATCACTTGGACACTTATTAAAACACTGTATATTCCCACTCGACTGCTTATTTACTCAGCTAGCACTAGTTCCTGGGGGGCTTCCACGGTCATCATAAGCATTTACTATTACAATGTGCTATTCAGAGTGCTCGGATTGTTTATTCCCTCTGCAATTAGAGGCCCAACAGGAACTGAGACCTGGATATCTAAACTATTGTGCCACATACATATAGCTGGAGCTACAAAAATATTTTGATAATTCTCTCTAGTAAATGGAATTAACCCCACAGCAGAAATGAAGATTTGCTAATAGAATCTTTAGGGTACTATCTTCTAATTACTAAATGTTTTTCATTTCATGTTCTTAAGTTTAAAATTCTGAAAGTCCTTCAGTCAATCTAATCCTACATTTTGCTTGGTTCTAAAAGTCTTAAAAGGAGAAAAAAAATTATCTAAATTAATAAGTGTGAGGAAAATTGAAGTTCCTATGCCAGGACCCTCCCCTGAACAAACTACTTGACGATGTAACTGGCCTGCTGCTAGGCTACTGCTTCCACACCCTAGGCAATAAGCTATTACTGACTGAGTCACTCTATAAAGAGCTCTGCCCAGTGCTCTGGGCAGAGGCAGAGATAAGGAGGGATTACAGACCTGCAGACTGTTGGATGCAGATGTAATTCTAGAGTCTGAGCTACTGCTAGGAGACCAAGCCAGATAAAAAAACCTTTTACCCCAAGAACATTCCATTGTCATTCCTCGGTTTCATTGAATCCACAGTGAACTTGCTCAGGGCTGAAACCCATTGGCAATAAGAATATCAAAATTTGTTTCTAACCCAGATTAATAAAAGTAGCTTCCATAATTTCTAATGTCTTGAACACTTTTCAGAAATTTGAATGAAACAAGTACTGTATATCTGTTTGTGAAATTGTAGCTGTCCAGTTTGATAACGGACTTCCTCTTCTAATAATCTTTTAAGTCGAATTCTCTTGGTAGAGAATGTTTCAGTCTAATCTATTTCCAAGCAAAATGTATCAGTTTTATCTTTAAGAGGCTATATTACTATTTCGTTCTTTTATACTCCTAAATATACTGCAAATGCTCTAGCATACAAATCCATAAATATCCTCATTTCCACACTTGTCACACTCTCTCCCTCATTCCTGATCTCTACTTTTCTGTCCTTGCAAAAGACAATGACCTAAGATAGCAATTGATTCTAATACTGGATCTTCCCAGCACAGAAATCGCTATCATTTGGCTTCCCCTGACAACTGCAGAATATCTCTAGCCCTGTCAGAGAGAGCCAGGTGGCGGCAACAATAGGCAAAGGAGGACTTTCCAAAGCCAAAGGTCAGCCTCAGCTACCCAGTGGCAGGATGTGGTTACCCACGGGCTTCTGGCTTCTTTTTCCAAGAGACAGGCCTAGGGCATCAAAGTTCTGTGAGGGAGAGACTCTTCCATCTCTCTTGGCTGCTGAAACTCCCTGGATTCTTGAGAGACCTCCAATAACATAGCCCAACTAAATTAATGCTTTTGAAAAATGAGATTTTACTTCAAATTTTTGCTTTAAAACAAATGTAAGAGAATTCTGTAACTTAGTTTATTGTAATATAGATATATAGAAAAAATGCTCCTCATTGCTAGTCATCAGAGAAATGCAAATTAAAACCACAATGAGATATCACCTCACACCAGTAAGGATCACCACCATCCAAAAGACAACAACAAATGTTGGCGAGGTTGTGGAGAAAGGGGAACCCTCCTATACTACTGGTGGGAATGTAAATCAGTTCAACCATTGTGGAAAGCAGTATGGAGGTTCCTCAAAAAACTCAAAATAGAAATACCATTTGACCCAGGAATTCCACTTCTAGGAATTTACCCTAAGAATGCAGCAGCCCAGTTTGAAACAGACATATGCACCCCTATGTTTATCACAGCACTATTTACAATAGCCAAGAAATGGAAGCAACCTAAGTATCCATCAGTCGATGAATGGATAAAGAAGATGTGGTACATATACACAATGGAATATTATTCAGCCATAAGAAGAAAACAAATCCTATCATTTGCAACAACATGGATGGAGCTAAAGGGTATTATGCTCAGTGAAATAAGCCAGGCGGAGAAAGACAAGTACCAAATGATTTCACTCATATGTGGAGTATAAGAACAAAGAAAAACTGAAGGGACAAAACAGCAGCTGGATCAAGAACCCAAGAATGGACTAACAGTTACCAAAGGGAAAGGGACTGGGGAAGATGGGTGGGAAGGGAGGAATAAGGGGGGGGGAAGAGAAAGGGGGCATTATGATTAGCATGTATAATGTGGGGGAGGGTATGGGGAGGGCTGTGTAACACAGAGAAGACAAGTAGTGATTCTATAGCATCTTACTACGCTGATGGACAGTGACTGTAATGGGGATTGTGGGGGGGGAGACTTGGTGAAGGGGGAAGCCTACTAAACATAATGTTCTTCATGTAATTGTAGATTAATGATAACAAAATAAAAATAAATAGGTAGATA